CGCACGCCCGAAAAAAACAAAAACAGCTGTAAACTCGCGACACCCCCGCGCACTAAGACCGCCCCCCAGCACACGAGAAGAGAAGGAAAAGGGGAGAGAAAGGGGGGAAGGAATAGGTAGGGACCTCTCTTTCATAATAGTTCAGATATCTACCTCAACTTTGATAAGTTTTACTATAGGCCACAGCAACGCGTGGCAGGGCACAGCTAGTTCATTATAAAAGAAGTGTTTTAATATACAGTGTTCCCTCGCTACTTCGCGGTTCGCTTTTAGTGGACTCGCTGTTTTGCGGTTTTCAAAAAATATTACTTTAAAATATATATTGCGGTATTTTCGCTTTTTTGTGGGTTTTTGTCGCCGCCACTCTCCAAGGCGCTTTCCCTCCTCAGTCCTCCCTCCTTCCCTCCAGTCTTGAAGAGCCCTTCCTTCCTTCCTTCCTTCCTTCCTTCCTTCCTTCCTTCCTTTCCTTCACTTTATTTTAATTTTATAAAGACTTAAAATAGTGTTTAACTACTAAAATAATGTATGTGTTGTGGCTCAGTCTGAGCCTGAGCTTTCTGAGCCTGAGTTTCCTCAGGACGAGGAGGATGATGGGTTACAGATTTCTGAACATGTCCCTGTTGTTGAGACAGACAGTGTTGATACTGAAGACAAGGCGGCGTTTCACTTTCCCAGGGAAAGGAATGTTGTTTTTGAAGATGGTCATGATTTGAGTGAAACTTCACAGCTGCAGGTGGAGGAGTCACCCACTCCATCTGTGAGCTCAGTGCCTGTCGATTCCCAGGCTGGCCAGTCCCAGGATAATGAGTTATTTAGCCTTGAAGGTGATGGGGATTTGGTTAGGGAGGACCGTTTGCAATTAAGAGTACACCGATGTGCTCGGCTTGCTAACAAACTCAAAGTTCGAGGTCAACGCAATGCTTTCGTGCTAGGAAAAGGTATTTAACGATCTGATTGAAGTCAACCCTTTGTCAGTGCAACTTTGCTTACACCCTGTTAACTTCTCTGGAATTGCATTGGCTTTTGGAAAAAGCTTTTGGCTCTTTGGGACTTTGGTTTTGATCTTGGTTTTTGGGGACTTTGTCACGCTGCCATGGATTCTTGTTTGACCAATGCTTGTAGATTTTACTTCATGTGATTTGCCTTTGGACCTTGGAAACTCTACCTTTGCATTTGAGACTCTGTTTCGGCTATTGAACTTTTGCAACCTTATTTCTATGTTTATGATTTTGATCTTTCTTCAGTAAACTACAAAACCTACAGCCTTGGTGTGTGGTGGTGTTCTGAGCAAGGTGAATCTATCCTGAGTTGCGACAGTATAAATACTAAAATAACTATAGCGTCTCTACATTGCGGTTTTTCACTTATTGCGGGAGGTCCTGGAACGTAACCCCTGCAATAAGTGAGGAAACACTGTATTTTAGTTAACGGTTACAGGAGCTTTAAGATAGTGGTTTGTGTTTACAGTGTTACCTCATTTATCGTGGGTGTTACGTTCCAGGACCACCCGCGAAAAGTGAAAATCTGCAAAGTAGGAATGCTATATATGTATATCGGGTTCTGAAGGTGAGGCGGAAGCGAGGAGAGATTTAAAGGCAGTGCACGCATCTTTTTTTCTTTTTTGCTAGCTATCTCTGCTTTGCTTTGCAATCTCTCTTGATTAGCTACTTCTCTTTCAAGAGGGAGGATGAAACCCCTTTCCACACTCCATTGTTTGTTTATTTATTTGCGACATTTATATGCTGCCCTTCTCACCCCGAAGGGGACTCAGAGCGGCTTACAAGGTATATATTACATACAGTATATTATATTATTAGCATAGTACAATATCAGCATTAAACATTACTATATTGCGCCATACCACTATATCGTAATATTATTAGTAATACAAATATATAATTATAATATCATATTATATTGCATTACATTATAATGTTATCAATGTTATATGTATATACAATATATTATATTATATTATATTATATTATATTATATTATATTATATTATATTATATTATTAGGATAGCCAGGAAGTGGGATTAGAACGCCACTCTGGGCAACGGCATCCATTCATAAACTGAGAGACAAAAACCCACGAAACAGTGAGTCCGCAAAAAGTGAACCGCAAAGTAGCGAGGGAACACTGTATTTGTATAGGTATTCTTGTATTTTGTATTTGATTGTTGATATGGTCAGTAGACCGATCAATAAACAAACCTATCTCTGTGGCTCTGCTTCTCACTTTTCCCTAATGTACGGTCCCTTTCCTGTTATGAGGGGTGTCCATGTCACCTCCTGTGTCCGCCAAGAGTGGCGTTTTGAGTTCTCAGTCTGTCCATCCATTGCAGGTGCCGCTTTGTCCGGGAGCGAGACCGGCTGGGCAACGAATACCCCATCCTGCACTATCCCGAGCTCTACGTCCTGAAAGGGGGCTATCGGGACTTCTTTCTGAAGTGCAAGGTATGTGTTGCTCCTCTTGATGTTGTGTGATTTTGTGCTGCTCTCTGGCATAGATATCATGCTTTTGTCTTGGGAGGTGCAAGCAATGCTCAGGGGCTTCCTCTGTTCAAATGCTGCCCTCAAAATAGCCTGCAATGGAAGGAGAGGTAATGCTCCAAAGCAGCCAATAACTCTTTGCAATGGTTTCAAGAGAAGCTATAATGCAGGCCTGGGCAAACTTGGGCCCTCCAGGTGTTTCGGACTCCCACAATTCCTAACAGCCAGTTGTGTAATGCTCCCATCAAAGCAGGCCAATAACTTCCATTTGCAAGTGTTTTCAAAGAAGAATGCTCTAATAATGCAAGTGTGCCCTCTGGGCGTAACTTGGGGCCCTACCAGTATGGTGTTGTTTTCTTGTGTCAACCTATCCCTGTCACTCACCATGTCCTAACAGCTGTTAGGAATTGGGAGTTGAATCCAAAACACCTGGAGAGAGAGCCCAAGTTTGCCCAGGCCTGGATTATAGCCTGAAGTAACTTAATGTGACAAGAATCAAAACAGATATTGACACACAAATTTATAAATAAAAAACCATAAGATAACTGTGTTTTCAATTTCTACAATGGTGCACGAAAAGCCAGAAAGAAGAGCGTGTCCCCTTCATCGTGTGTTAGGTCCATTCTACAAGCTTACGAAAGGTCAAAGGCTTGTTTGAACATCCATGTTTTTAGGTTGGAATGGAAGGATGAGGGGTGGGGGCTAATTCTAATCTCTTTTGGGAGGATATTCCAGAGCTGGGGGGCCACCACCGAGAAGGCCCTCTCTCTTCTCCCCACCAATCATGCTTGAGACGTTGGTGGGACTGAGAGGAGGGCCTCCCCTGTCGATCTCAGAACCTGTGATCTGAGATTGACGTGGTATATAGACAGTGTAATGCCCCCAGAACGCTCCATGTAGTCATGCCGGCCACATGACCTTGGAGGTGTCTATGGACAACGCTGGCTCTTCGGCTTAGAAATGGAGATGAGCACCACACTCCAGAGTCAGACATGACTGGACTTAATGTCAGGGGACTACCTTTACCTTTAAGGCCCCCAGAAATAGAGGCCAGCCTTGGCGGGAGCCCTGATGTTCTGTGGGAAGCTAGTTTGCACAAGAGCAGTCAGGGCATCACTAGGGACTGGGTGGGATTCTGTGAATCTTGGTATTTCATAAGGAAGCCTTGTGTTTTAGGGCTACTGCGAGCCCCAGGGCTACCGGCCCATGCACCACGAAGACTTCAAGGAAGACCTGCGCAAGTTCCGCACCAAGAGCCGCACCTGGGCCGGCGAGAAGAGCAAGCGGGAGCATTACAGCCGCCTGAAGAAGCTCTGAGGGATCCCTCCTGGGGCGGGCGGGTGGACGGACGGACAAGCCCCACTGCCCTTCCTGCCCAAAGGGAGAAATGGACGAGGGAGCCGCTTGGGGCCCTTCGGCCACTCTTTTTGTAGGACAGACTCATCCCGCGCGGCCTTTGTTGTCTTCTGAATCCTATTGCGCAAGGAAGGCCCCCTGGACGAGAGAGCCTAGGCCAGGCTTGGACTCTGCGCATCTGCCTCCCAGCCATACTCGTTGCACCTTCCAAACGAGGTCTATCTGCAAAGTAGGAGCAGAATGGGGAGAGGGATATTGGTTAGGAGATTTTACTGTGGAATTTTAAAGGTGCCTTTTTAGAAAACATTAGGACAATAACACGAGGCGACGTTATCTCTGTGGCTGGAGCCGAGGTCGTTTCGGCTCATGGAGTTGCTGCCCTTCTCCGCTTTGTTTTTATTGTCTTACTTGTGTGAGAAAGACACCCCTGAGTGTGTCGAGCGAAGGAAGAGGAGGACGTTTCCCTCGCTACCCAACTCCTTTCTCACAGGAAGCCAGCTATCGAAAACTCAAAGCTTTGCCAGGTTGGGTTTTATCTGATTTTAATGATGTATTCACTCAGCCTCCTCTATAAAACAGGCATGGGCAAACTAAGGGCCTTTCCACACAGCCCTGTATCCCAGAATATCCAGGCAGAATAATATCTTCTTTGAGGTGGGTTATCTGAATTCACACTCCGATAATGTGGGATTTTTCTGCCTTGATATTCTGGGATATAGGGCTGTATGGAAAGGCTCGGGGTGGATCCGACCTACGGAGTGCTTACCTCAGGCCCTCGTTTACTCGATCCTTTTGGCATAAGTACATGGCAACCAACAGCAGCTGAAAGCACTCTCTGCCACCACGTGTCTCCCCTCCTCCTGGCACAAAGACGGTGTGAGCGGCCCATCCTTAAGCCGGGAGGATAGCTCAAGGAAGGCATGTGGCGGCTGAGAGCCCACCGGAGCACTCTCGGCCACCACGTGTCTCCCCTCCTCCTGGCACAAAGACATTGCGAGCGGCCCATCTTTATGCCAAGAGGACAGCTCAAGGAAAGCACGTGGCGGCTGAGAGTTCACCGGAGCACTCGGCCACCATGTGTCTCGTCCTCCTTGCACAAAGGCGGCGCAAGCGGCCCATCCTTATGCCGGGAGGACAGCTCAAGAAAGGCACGTGGTGGCTGAGAGCTCACCGGAGCACTCTCAGCCTCTGCCTGTCTCGTCGTCCTCCTGGTACAAAAGACGGTGCGAGCAGCCCATCCTTATGCTGGGAGGACAGCTCAAGAAAGGCACATGGCGGCTGAGAGCCCACCGGAGCACTCCCAGCCACCATGTGTCTCGTCCTCCTCCTAGCACAAAGACGCCGTGAGCGGCCCATCTTTATGCCACGAGGACAGCTCAAGAAAGGCACGTGGTGGCTGAGAGCCCACCGGAGGACTCTCATTCTCTGCCTGTCTCGCCCTCCTTCTGGCACAAAGACGATGCGAGCAGACCATCCTTATGCCAGGAGGACAGCTCAAGGAAGGCATGTGGCAGCTGAGAGCCCACCAGAGCACTCTAAGCCTCTGCCTGTCTCGTCATCCTCCTGGTACGTAAAACAGCATGAGCGGCCCATCCTTATGCCGGGAGGACATCTCAAGGAAGGCACGTAGCGGCTGAGAGCCCACCAGAGCACTCTCTGCCACCACGTGTCTTGCCCTCCTCCTGGCACAAAGACAGCATGAGCAGCCCATCCTTATACCAGGAGGACAGCTCAAGAAAGCACATGGTGGCTGAGAGCCCACTCTTGGAAGCAGGATTGGGGCAGTCTCCGCCTTTCTCCCAGTTTAAGGATGGAGCAAGCAGTGAGGACAACGTGAGGATGACCCAGGCCTTGCCCATTCCCTTCCTGGGCTTTTCCCTTCCCGGGCCATCCCCACCCAGCATGCAAATAGCTCACAATGCGGTCCCATGGCAAAAAAAGTCTGCCTATGCCTGCTATAAAAACATAAACTTGTTGGTCTCTAAATGGGGGTGCACGAAGCAAAATCCTGATGGAAAAATCCCATGTTGCAATGTGTGCACATCCCTTGTTGTGTCTCGTTTGGGAGATGCAATGGCAGCCTTCCTGGGGAAAGAGATCTTGCATTGCATCAGGACTGGGCAAATTTGGGCTCTCCCTCCAGGTGTTTTGGACATCAACTCCCGCCATTCCGAACAGCCTCAGGCCCTTTTCTTTCCCCCCTCAGCCGCTTAAGCGGCTGAGGGGGAAAAGGAAGAGGCCTGAGGCTGTTCGGAATGGCGGGAGTTGACGTCCAAAGCACCCGGAGGGCCCAAATTTGCCCAGTCCTGGCTTAAACCAAGCTTGTTGTCATGTCCAGTTGGTCACAAACCGATAAACAAAACTAGCTTTGCTGCTCTTGACTTGTTTCATGCACAATAACAAGCCGAGAGCATGGAAAAGCATGGAAACTAATTGCCTGCAGATTCCTGCTTTGTAGTACTTGCAATACCATGACCCCCATTTTTTTTTTAATCAGGAGACCCTTCCTCTTATATTCACATAAGGCTAAACCCTTGTTTCATGTCTCTGTGTGTCAGTATTAAAAAACAGTTTACATCGGAGCGTTTGCTAGTGTGAGGAGGGCCCTTTTTGTGTTATTTTAGTGTTTGATTATCCTTAATATTTGCTCGTCAGCATGTCGTAAGAAATCATTTTGGTGGTCGCCGCGCAAAGAGGTGGGTCGGTGGAGCTGTCGAATGGGACATTTGCACAAAATGCCTGCATCTCAGTGGCATTTTTCCATTTGTGTTTACAGCCTTTGATATCTCATCCTATGCCTTTCCCAGGGAGGGAAGGGCTTTGTTTATAGCCTCCTGCACAGGCGTGGGATTTATTTATTTCCTCCCATAAGCAAAGGCTGCCTTCCTGGGACAGGAACTCTATATTCTCCTCATTGACTTTCTGGCTTCTTCCTCCCAAAGTCCCCAGAGTCCCACCTTCTTGGTATTGTGATGAATAAGGCTTTGCTCACTCAAGTGTCTGTTTGTCCTTTTCGTTTGTGCAAATGTCTTCAGAAGGGGCGGAGGGAGGGAATGTGGTATTCGGTAAATGTTTTTAGAAGGTGGGGAGGCGGAATTTGGATTGACGTTAAGGCAAAAAGGGGCCTCGACTGACACTCGGGGAATAAATACCCTTGTTCCCAAAGTCTCCTGTCAATGTGTTTCATTTGTCTTTGAGGAGCATCTGCCAACTGTGGCCATGTTTTGAAATCCTCTGGTAGAATCATCTTCCCATTCCTTCAGGAGGGTCTACTGATGGTGTACTGTCGTATACGAGAAGCTCGTCTCAGCCTGCCATTGAATATCGAGAAAACCAAAGTACTTTTCCAGCAGTCACCAGGCAATCCCTCTCCAACGCCAGAGATACAGCTTAATGGTGTAACATTAGAAAATGTTGACCATTTCCGCTCCCTTGGCAGCCACCTCTCTACCAAAGTCAACATTGACACTGAAATACAACACCGCCTGAGCTCTGCGAGTGCAGCATTTTTCCGAATGAAGCAAAGAGTGTTTGAGGCCCGGGACATCCGTGGGGATACCAAGGTGCTGGTTTATAAAGCTATTGTCCTCCCAACCCTGCTGTGGGCTATCTACAGATGTCAACACTGAAAGTGAAATACAACACTGCTTGAGCTCTGCGAACGCAGCATATTTTCGAATGAAGAACAGAGTGTTTGAGGATTGGGACATTCGTAGGGAGACCAAGGGGCTTGTTTATAAATCTATTGTCCTCCCAACCCTGCTATATGCCTGCGAAACGTGGACTGTCTACAGACGTCAACACTGAGACTGCAATGTGTCCTGAGGAGAGCGACTAAAATGATAAAAGGTCTGGAGAACAAGCCCTATGAGGAGCGGCTTAAGGAGCTGGGCATATTTAGCCTGAAGAAGAGAAGGCTGAGAGGAGATATGATAGCCATGTATAAATATGTGAGAGGAAGCCACAGGGAGGAGGGAGCAAGCTTGTTTTCTGCTTCCTTGGAGACTAGGACGCGGAACAATGGCTTCAAACTACAAGAAAGGAGATTCCATCTGAACGAGGAAGAACTTCCTGACTGTGAGAGCCGTTCAGCAGTGGAACTCTCTGCCCCGGAGTGTGGTGGAGGCTCCTTCTTTGGAAGCTTTTAAACAGAGGCTGGATGGCCATCTGTCAGGGGTGATTTGAATGCAATATTGCTGCTTCTTGGCAGAATGGGGTTGGACTGGATGGCCCAGGAGGTCTCTTCCAACTCTTTGATTCTATGAAATACAACACCGCTTGAGCTCTGCAAGTGCAGCAATTTTCCGAATGCAGCACAGAGTGTTTGAGGACCGGGACATCTGTAGGGAGACCAAGGTGCTTGTTCATAAATCTATTGTCCTCCCAACCCTGCAATACGCCTGTGAAACGTGGACTATCTACAGATGTCAACACTGAGACTGAAATACAACACCGCTTGAGCTGTGCGAGTGCAGCATTTTTCCGAATGAAGCAGAGAGTGTTTGAGGACTGGGACATCCATTGGGATACCAAGGTGCTTGTTTATAAAGCTATTGTCCTCCCAACCCTGCTCTATGCCTGCGAAACATGGACTGTCTACAGACGTCACATGCAACTCCTGGAACGATTCCATCAGCGCTGCCTCCGGAAAATCCTGCAAATCTCTTGGGAAGACAGGCAGACAAATGTCAGCGTGCTGGAAAAAGCAAAGACCACCAGCACTGGACCGGCCATGTTGTCCGGATGCCCAACCACTGTCTCCCAAAGCAGTTGCTCTACTCCAAACTCGAAAACAGAATGTTGGTGGGCAGGAAAAGGGATTGAAAGATGGGCTCAAAGCCAACCTTAAAAACTCTGGCATAGACACTGAGAACTGGGAAGCCCTGGCCCTTGAGGGCTCCAGCTGGAGGTCAGCTGTGACCAGCAGTGCTTCGTTGTAAACATGCCACCCAGTAGTTGCCATCTTCTTGCCCACAGAAAACCATTTTTAATAATTTAGAGCCACTGACCCACAGGTCGGGAACCACTGCTTATTTATTTATTTTTATCGTGTCATCAGCAACCAGAACATTGTGGTACATTTCTAACAGAACAAAACAAACAGATTAAAGAAAAACACACACACAAATTTTGCAAACTTGGTAGCTGATTAAATGTCCTTTGACCAGTATCTGGCCCCTTGGAGTGCCTCTGGTGTTGCCGCAAGAAGGTCCTCCATGGTGCATCATGTGGCAGGGCTCAGGTTGCATTGCAGCAGGTGGTCAGTGGTTGGCTCTTCTCCACACTCGCATGTCGTGGATTCCACTTTGTAGCACAGGAAATAGTGTCACATTTCCATACAAACCTGGCATGTTTGGTACATTAAAAATATAAATATAACTACTAAAAACACAATATGGGTGAGGGAGCAGAAGGGGAAACAGGGTAAAAACATACAATGCCCACTCGCATGTCGTGGATTCCACCCTGTAGCCCCATTTCTTGAGATTGGCTCTGCATCTCGTGGTGCCAGAGCGCAGTCTGTTCAGCGCCTTCCAAGTCGCCCAGTCTTCCGTGTGCCCAGGGGGGAGTCTCTCATCTGGTATCACCCACGGATTGAGGTGCTGGGTTTGAGCCTGCCACTTTTGGACTCTCGCTTGCTGAGGTGTTCCAGCGAGTGTCTCTGTAGATCTTAGAAAACTATGTCTTGAATTTAAGTCATTGACGTGCTGGCTGATACCCAAACGGGATGAGCTGGAGATGTCTCTGCCTTGGTCCTTTCACTATTGGCTGCTACTTCCCGGCGGATGTCAGGTGGTGCAATACCAGCTAAGCAGTGTAATTTCTCCAGTGGTGTAGGGCGCAGACACCCTGTGATAATGCAGCATGTCTACCACTGCTGTAGATGCATAAATTACTCATTGTTTAGGCACTATTCTGGTTGGTGAGTGGGCCTCTCCACTGGGGGGAGCTGTTGCGGCTCTGTTTTTGCAAACCAGAAGCCTCCGCTTCATTCATGTTAAGGGCTTGTACCTAAACATTTTGAGGGAAGGCATGGACAGTCAGTCCCTCCTCCTTCATATTTACTGTGCCTGGTGACAGGTTTCCTTCCTTTGTTTACAGGAGAAGCGCCCCAGAGACAGGCCTTAGGACGCATGTCTTACAGAATAATAATAATAGTAATAATAGTAGTAGTAGTAGTAGTATGGATCATCGATGTTGCGATCCCAGGCGACAGCAGGATTGCAGAGACACGATATGAGGATTTAAAGATTGAACTGCAAAGATTCTGGCACAAACCAGTCAAGGTGGTCCCAGCGGTGTTCGGCACACTGGGTGCAGTGCCCCAAGACCTTGGCCTGCACTTAAACAATCGGCGCTGACAAAATTACCACCTGCCAGCTGCAAAAGACCACCTTACTGGGGTCTGCGCACATTATTCGCCGATGCATCACACAGTCCTAGGCACTTGGGAAGAGTCCGACGTGTAATCCAATTCAACAGCCAGCAGAGTGTCTGCTGTGGACTCATCTTGTTGTGTTTCTAATAATAATAATAATAATAATAATAATAATAATAATAATGGGTTGTTGTAGGTTTTTTCGGGCTGTATGGCCATGGTCTAGAGGCATTCTCTCCTGACATTTCGCCTGTATCTATGGCAAGCATCTCAGAGGTGAGGATGCTTGCCATAGATGCAGGCGAAACGTCAGGAGAAAAATTGCCTCCAGAACATGGCCATATAGCCCGGAAAAACCTACAACAACCCAGTGATTCCGGCCA